CAGCCTCTCCACAGGCCCCTTAAGCACTACCAATAAGACTGGACAAGTATTTACAAGCGAGACACGGTTTGCCCCGCCAAGTGGAAGTGGTATTTGGACACAATTGCTTCGCAACCAACTGCTCCACTGGGGGGATCTCCGTGTACCCACTGGCCGACCCGCCATCAAGAGTGGTGAGGGAGGATGAGTCACCAGGTAGGTTTCTGGCAGTGAAAGGTGCTGTCCACGACCTGGTAACCTCGTGATGCACCTCCGGGAAGAATGGCGCAAGCCGCCCCTAGAAACCAGTCATCCAGCCTCTTGACGACCTGGGCAAGCATAGCCGTCATCTCCGGGTCGGATTCAGGCATTGCCACCGTCCCAGAAGGAGCCAGTGCAGCCGAATCCTCATCCGCAGAGAGATCAGGCTCACCCTCCGATGCAGCGATTGACATCCAGTCGTCAGGGGGAGCCCCGAAGGATACAACTGGTACACTCTGGGAAGGTCCAGCGCATTCCACTGGTTGCGGAGTGCAAGAGGAGTGAGGGTCCCCTGACTACCTGAAGTAGTCCTCCCCTGGCTTTTACCTGGAAGAGAACTAGATCTAGGCAGAGGCATTGGAGCTCCACCCCTTTTGAGGTAATGGAGCTTGGTTCGCAGCTCTGAGATGGTCATCTTCCTGCAATGGGAACATGACTCATCCATGAAAGCCACCTCAGCGTGCTTAATGCCCAGACACGTGAGGCAGCGATCGTGACTATCATGAGCGGCGCCAGGTAACGACCAGAAACGCCCGGGTGGAATGACATCTTCAAAAAGATGCAACGTCATCTTTAAAAAGACGTACCCATGCAACGCTCTTTTAGGAAGTAAATCTTTTAGTAGTGCTGAAGTGCACAGGGGAGATGGCCGCAGCAGCACAAACAGGAGTAGTGCAGCCTGTAGTGTGCACCCACTCAACAAGGAAACGCGACCACCAGTGCAGCACCATACCACCAGCATGCAAGAGGCTTCCTGTAATGACTCTGCAATCGTAGCTTGGAGGAGCAGAACTATACACAACCACTCAGCTCTGAAGTGAAATGCTGAGTATGCGTTGCACCTGCTGCCTATTTATACTCACGCTGCAAGGCGTGGCAGTCAGATGCAAATATCGCATACCAATGTGCATTGGCTCATTTAGTTTCACTCGAAGTAGTTTGGTCTCTCTGGTGAGATTCCCAATCCGCTGGTCACCGACGAGATGTCGGAAGTGACCGACTGAAAGGGAACCTGGGTTCCTGTCTCAAGGTCCAGTGTTAGGAGTGTCTTGTCACTAGAAAATATTGATGACAGACGCATCCCTCACAGGTTGGGGAGCGGTCATGAAGGGCGACTTCACAAGGGGTCTGTGGAGAGGGCATCATGTCTCTTGGTACATTAATTGCCTGGATGGGGCTGAATGCCATGGTACAGGAATGGCCAAGGCTGCACCTGTATGCCTTTCCCCTGATTGACACCCAAAATTTGAACACAAAAAATGGCCCTGAATGAGTTCTTGTTTTTTTAAATTTATAACATATGATATAGCAATATCACTGCAAAACTGCAGTTTTCCCCAAATATCAACACGATTGCAGATGTGTTGTTTTGTTGATGAATGATTCAATGTTTTTGAATGAGTCAATGATTCAATGACCAATTACAAAGACAGTTGGTGTGTCCAAAATCACATACTGTCTAGTAGCAGGGGTATGCTATTATTTGCAGTATTTGTATCTGTATCTGTAACAATCACAAAATTATTTGTGTCTGTATCTGTTGTAATGTCTTTGATTACTTAATTTTAGGGAATTAATTATTATTAATTCATTCAGGGTTTGAAAGAACTCGAATCTGAAAATTCAAAGTCAACCTGATTAGAACTGATTTCAAATTTTAATGGTTTACACATTATCAACGGTCGTCCAGTGAGACGTTAATGTTCATGTATCTTAACCATCTGATTATGGGTATTTTCCTTGGCCACAGGTCAATACAATTATGATAATTTGTAAGCTCCTAGCGAGGTAACGTGATCTTGGCAAGGTTTCACTTTAAAATTCTACGACACCAGACAATGATTCTTTATAAATGAAACACGAATTTTATTGGCTATTCTAGATTACATCGACCTAAGCTAAGATATACACATACACACACACACACACACACACACACACACACACATATACAGTTCTGAAGAATGAGAGTTGACGGAGTTCTGAGGAAAGCCCAAAGTTTTAGCAAGATATTCGCTACAGTTCTCTTACTGGCATCCTGAGACAATCACAAAGCAGAGATTTGGCTTATGTTTACTGCTTAAAATTAGCTTGACACCAGTTCAGCAAAGATAAGATTTTGTTCGTTTACTTGCGTTTTTTTGGGTGACAGCTGAAAAGCTGAGTTGTTCCTCGTGGCTACTGGAGGGGATTCCGTTGCTGCTTGGCTGTTGATCTGGCGCCGGAATGACGTTTGGATGACATCCCTTTGGGAGAGCCCTCCGGAGATTGGTTGGTTTCTTGATGACGCAGAGGCTTGGGCAGTTCTGCTAAAAGTTTGAGTTTGCAAGGCTTTAAGTTCTTTGAAGATCGCAAAGTTTCAACTGAAGTGTTTTGAGTATTTTGCGCTCATTTCATTCATACATTCATTCACTTCATACTCTCATTATTGCGTACTGACTTTAGGGGTTTATGTATAATATCTCACTGATCCCCTGACTCACCTGTTATCCAGCAGACATGATGAGTGACTGTGCCAGCCTCAGCCGATTAATATTATTATTCATTATCCGTTATTCGTTAAGCCATTATCCGTACCTTTCCGAATAAGGTATTCGGCTTCGGGCACACACCTACTGACTAGTAGGTACTACATTTGAATTCAAACTTACTTCACAACCGTTAAAAAGTATGCTCTATATAGTATGTAGTGTGAATGAAATTCGGACGTACTACATCCACCATGTTGTTACTGTCACATGACCTACCAGCGTCAGTTGTGTCGCTTCACTTCCATTCATAAATTCTCATAAATTCGCCGGAAGTAGTAGGTCATCTGGGTACTTCCTTCCTAATGTTTTTCGCATACCATGAATTCAGACATACTACTTGGCTCATATACTGGTTTTCATATATATAGCAGGGAAGTATGTGATTTTGGATGCAGCGCCTGCCTTGTTCCTTTATGAATCAGCCATTTTGAACAAATCAATTGAATGAATGATTCAGTGGCTAAAACCCTATTCGCACGGGATAAGTATTATCTTAAACTTACTTCACAACCGTTAAAAAGTATGCTCTATATAGTATGTAGTGTGAATGAAATTCGGACGTACTACATCCACCATGTTGTTACTGTCACATGACCTACCAGCGTCAGTTGTGTCGCTTCACTTCCATTCATAAATTCTCATAAATTCGCCGGAAGTAGTAGGTCATCTGGGTACTTCCTTCCTAATGTTTTTCGCATACCATGAATTCAGACATACTACTTGGCTCATATACTGGTTTTCATATATATAGCAGGGAAGTATGTGATTTTGGATGCAGCGCCTGCCTTGTTCCTTTATGAATCAGCCATTTTGAACAAATCAATTGAATGAATGATTCAGTGGCTAAAACCCTATTCACACGGGATAAGTATTATCTTGGGACCTTGTGTGATTTTGAAATTACCCCCCCCACATCTGAATTTCATGTGGTGCATTCGCACGAGATAAGCAAAGCCTGTGATTTTACTCGAATTTACTGACTTATCTCCCGGATACGACGTCAAGTCTGATTAGATGGATTTAAAAAAAAGAAAAGAAACTAATATAGTTTCCTTCCCTGAGTCATTTACATTTCACCAGGTTAAAATAATAGGTCATTTACATTTCACCAGGTTAAAATAATATCTCAAGCTTTATGCTTGATTTATTTGTAACACATTAACCTCAAAACCTTTTCAGCTTTCTCTTTCTGCAAATTGTATGGTGTAGCAATATGACAGCACCAAAAATACTATCAAACAGTCCAACGCACCTCCATTCTTCACACACAGGAAACAAAAACCTTGAAAAATTATATACGGCCCGCCAAATGCTGGCCAAATCACAGAGATGTCGATTCGCACGGGACTAATATTATCACAGGACCTCGGTGTTCGGCAAAATATGTTAGGTCATTTGCGGGGGAATACAGACATGGCCGATTCGCACAGGATTAAGATCACAGACAACCTCCGCAATTATTACAAATGACCGGAGGTCACCAGGTAATACTAATCCCGTGTGAATAGGGCTAAAGACAGGGATTTGCCACCACCTACTGGCAGTGTAGATTCATTTATAAAGTATAATTTCAACTGTTTTAATAATTTAATATTTATATCATCAAAACTTTGTATTTAAAATAGTCTCATAACATTGTTTTTTATTTCTCTTTCATTGTTTTATTATTCTAACTGAATTTGTTTTAGTTCAGACTCACTTTTTTTTAGCAAATGTATAAATATAGATCTAGTAATTTAACATAAAAGATAACACATACATTTAATAAGGGTAGCAATAAATGCCATTACAAAGGTTAAAAAATGCCCCTGGAAATCAATTTAAGTAGGCACATATTGCCCTGTGATGGGAAAGTTAGTTTCTTTCATTGATAAGAAGGTGCTCTTAAAAAGAAATGTAAGTGTAGAGCCCTGATTTAGTAAATACATTTACGTATTAAGTATATTTATTAAATTTACTGAAATGTAAGTATTTTTTATTTCATTGTAGAATTTCAAATATCATAATGATTTGAATATGCCAGCCAGTGCACAGGAGAGTGCAGGCACTTTTTTACTCCCACTTCGAACACTGTGTGTAGCTAATAACCCTGACAGTGATCAGAGGAAAATGTCTGATGTGTTTGATCAATAGGACAAGTCTTATAATTCATCATATTCTTTGTTGGGTTCACTCTTGATAAATATATGAACATCAGAATAAAAGCAGTTGTTGATTGTGTCTCATCAGCTCCTGTGATTCTGGATCCAAACACTGCAAATCAATTTCTCGTCCTGTCTGATGATCTGACAAGTGTGAGATACAGTGAGGACAATCAACCACTTCCTGATAATCCAGAGAGATTTGACAGCTATCCATGTGTTCTGGGTTCAGAGGGCTTTAACTCAGGAAAACACTGCTGGGATGTGGAGGTTAAAGAGAGTCGATACTGGAGTCTTGGAGTAACTACAGCATCAACACAAAGGAAGGGATGGAAATTCCTTTACACTGATGTCTGGAGTGTGTGGTATGATCCATTTCAGATTGTCTCAGTATTTCAACCCAACACTACTTTTCCTGTTAAACAGAAGCTTGAGCGTGTGAGAGTGTATCTGGACTATGACGGAGGAACAGTGTCATTCTCTGATCCTGTAACTAACACACACCTACACACATTCACAACCTCCTTCACTGACACTGTCTTTCCATTCTTTGGTAGTATTTTCCATCTGCGGATCTTACCGCTCATTAGTCAGTAATTGTTACAGCTGTATTCATGCTTCAATATTTAATCCATAACACATGAGTAAGAGTGCTGTTGATCTGAATATCAGTACAGCTGTGATTGGGCCACAGCTGATCACATGACTGATATCCAGCTCTACAGACGCATACGGCTGTTATACAACAGATCAATGAACAATAAATAATAAAAATGATTTAGTAAGATTAATCAAACTGTAAAATGATTATGAGTTTATAAGATCCATCATTGTCTGCTGAGGTGAAGTTAGTATTAAGACGCTTAATTGTAGACACAATATATTCAGATATTTTCAGGGTTCCTACAGTCCTTTTGTTGTTGTTGTTGTTTTCTTCTTATTTAATTTTTGTCATGTTTTTTGTTTTATATTGTTTGCAGTATATATATTGTCAATGACATGTAAGTGATTATTGTCACAAATATTATTGATTGATAAAAAATTTTTTTTGTCTATTTTACACTTTTAAGAGCCTCCAAAAGAATCTGAAAATTAAATAGGATACAAAAGTGATAAAACATTTTTATAATAGTCATTTCACAATAACTCCAAAAAACAAACATTTAACTCCAAAACATATTAAAAACCTATTGTCACATGTATGTTCTGTTTCTGTTTTGTTCTAGTATTCCTTGGTTCCTGTGTTTAGTTTCCTTTGTCCTCATTTTCCCGCCACTTGTTGGTTTCCTTGGTTACTAATCAATGTTCAACTGTGCCTTGTTCCTTTTGATTAGCTTCGCTAGTATATTTAAAGAGCAGGTCCTATGGTTTTTTGAAGTGGCCTAATATTGTGTTGGAGTCCCCTACAACAGGTTTAAATGCATCTAAGGTCAGAAAACATTGTAATTTTCTCAGAATATACATTTAATATTAGTGTCATTTGTCAAAGATTTCGAAACCATTAAAGCAGTTCTGAGCTTAAGGTCTGTAAACCTCTCCCTTCCATAAGCCTACTCTGCTCTGATTGGTCAGCTGGCCAAGTCTATTGTGATTGGTACAGAGAGGAGTACTTGAGCAAGTTAGCGAGCGCTACCATTGACAAAGCATGCACCTTTACATAAAACAATAATATAGTGCTCCAATCCGTTCTTAAAATAATAATATAAAAAACATTTTGTTTAACAATTATGCAAGCGAATCGTGCCCACAGCTAAAGTTAGCTGGTAAACTGTAAACACTTAACAAAACAATAATGGTGGATACGTTAGCCGAGTGCTAATGTAACTAACTGATGAAACTACAGATTGTAAACCAAAATAGTTCTACATTCTTTATTATTAAACAAAATAATTAGAACAACGACAGTCTACATTAATCGACACATTCTTAGGAAATAGTGGGTTCACAGCGAATTATCAGAACTACTTCAGTAATATCATGGTTTACCTGGAAACCTAAAGCTGCACTAGGTATACATCACATATTAGCTAAAATAACTTGATATTTTGAGCACTCAATTGAAAATGTACACAACATATCAATCGTACTTACATGATGCATATGGCACACAAAAGTAGAAACACTTCAGGGGTTTCGAAGTTGTCATCAGATTGGTTGAATTATACAGGATTTCTGGGAGACTTGTGTGTCACATTCTTTAACGTTCTGCCTGGAAACAAAGATACTGTGGCGCCAAACCCCCTCACAAAAGAAGAAAGCCATCGTGTTTATAACTGTGACAACGAGCGCTTATCAGGATCAACTAAAGGCTGGATTCTCAAAAGTATGTGAAATATTTAAAGTTCGCAGCATAGAATCTTTAAAAAACTTCTGAGTGTTTTACACACCGGTCTGTTATTGTGTTTAGTTCCATTTCCACTCCCCAAAACGTGACGCTGAAACGAAACAAAATATGATTGGTTGTTTGACATGTCGGTCAAACGGCCTCATGGACGGGCCTTGGCCAATGATAGCTGCCATGGATTCCAGACCTTCAGCCGTCAGTCTGAAGGTCTGGCTATGCGAGACTACTTGACCGGTTACTTCCTGAGAACCAGCTCAAAAGAACGATTGATTCAAGAATCGAACATCACTAGGCTTAACATTAACACCCGCCATATAATTTGGCGGGTGGATTTCAGCAGTGGCGGGTAACACGGTCACTCCCACTAGCCACTTTGGCAGATTGAATTTTATATACAGTAACAGAGCTCGACATTAATGCTTGTCTGGGACAAGTGGATTTTTTGAAGGGGCAAGTGAAAGAGAATTTTTCTTGCCTGACTGGACAGTTAAGCTGATTAAAACATCTAATTAGGGAAGCACCGAAATTTCATCAAGAATGATTCTGATTTTATTACATGAAGTGAAGTAAAGTGTGGCCACGTATGGTGACCCATACTCGGAATTTGTGCTCTGCATTTCACCCATCCAAGTGCACACACACAGTAGTGAACACACAGTAGTGAACACACACACACACCGTGAACACACAAGATTTCAAACTAGTAATTAATATGAAGTGACTTACATTTACAATATTGTAAATAATAGTTTTTGCTTGATTTGGTTAGAGAAAATAGTTCCAAACAAAGATCACAGCAGAACAGTCACGCATCTCTGAGCAACACACAGCGGTGTTTCGTTACTGAATGATTCGTGATTTTGAATGAATCACATGAGTCATTGATTCAGTGGTCCATTCATAAAGACAGGGGCTGTGTTCGAAATGGCATATTAACCCTTAAATGCATACCTCAGGTCTTTAGCAACACGGTACATCATTCTCTACCCTTTCCCTCCTTCATTTTTTTAAGTTAGACATCAACTTTCTTAGTATTCCTTAATCTATTCATTATAAACAATATAACAAGAAAAAATTTGTAAAATATAAAAGAATGCCTGTTTTCTGAATAATGTTTTGTAAAAAGTGTATAGGGTCGCTAGAGACCCGAGGTATGTAAATGTGTAAGTATTTTTTTCTGCGCAACTATAATTACATATCTGATAACTCAATACGTGCAATGCATCTTTTTTCCTCAAGGTGGCACTGTTTGATACACAATGATGACGTGATGTTTCACTCATAATTACCGCAGGCATAAAACAAAGGAATATCTTTCAGTAAATCAGCAAAAATTTAACTGGTTTGAATGGCTTTACTGCAGAGCAATTTCTGTATGCAATGAAATATAAATGTCACTACCATTTGATGCTGGATGTGGTGAATAAGCTGCCAGTGATCAAAATATTTGATCGTTTTGAGAATATGGTTGAGATCGCAAATATGAGCCAGATTCTGAATGTACTGTGGACGTGCACTCTGACGATGACATCGATGGTAAAATCATCTGCTCAAATTGAACCCTTTTAAGTTTCAAAAGGTAACGAAATATGCTTTATTCTATTCTTCTGTAATTGTTCTTAAAATATCAAGAGAGTTTTTTGCTATTGCAGCAGTTAGAAATCCACCCGTGCTGGATATATAGGTCCGGGTCGCTAAAGACCTGAATATGTAATAATGATTGGCAAAACATTCATGCATTTAAGGGTTAACATACTGCTTACTGCCTACTGCCCAGTATACAGAGTATACTGCCTACTATTTTTTTAAGAATAGCATGTGAAACAGTATACAATAAGAAACAAAATGTTTCAGAGTAGTATGCTACAGTGTTGTCACATGACAAACACTGAACCTTAATTCAGCACAGCTGTCGAGGCTGTTACCTTACAAATAAATGTGCTAACCATTATTTTTCATACTAGTAAACAATGCTATATTGCCCAGTTGAACTCATTTCATAATTAATTAACTTTAGTATTGAACAGAACTGAATCAACACTGAGCTCTCTTTAACTGAACAAAGTTTTGGCAGTTACACTAAGTGGAAAAAGTGATATATTCCAGTTACACTAAGTGCAAATAATGATAAATTGTGTTTACACTAAAATATCAGGATTTTCTTTATCAATAGGTTAAGTGTAAATAGTAGTTAGGTGGCAGATATTTATACTTCAGTACTGTAATACATTATAAAACAGTATGTAATAACATACTGAGTATAAATTATCAATTTATTAATATTATTAAATGGATGCCGCCTTATTGGGACAATAAAGCCCTTCCTACACCTATGGCTAACCATACCTAATAACACTGTATTATTAATGAGGCATTTTATTTCCACTTTTCAAATATTTCCTTTATTTTTATTGAAAATGCATGCCTTTCCAATCTGATATGTGATGGGGAAAGGAGAAGAACAAGTTTGGCAAAAGGTAGATTCGAACACGGGTCGATCGCGTCAGTTACTTCACATTTTATTTGTTACGCCACTGACACTACAGATAAACAGGCATCTTTTGCACGGGCAGTTACTGTAGCCTCTACCAACAAATTGGGCTACTTACACTTAGAGTTGCTTTACAGCGGAACTGAATTCTGCTTGCATAATTTCAATATTATTTGTATTTATATGTTATTTATATATTATTACCAGGGCTCTGAACTGGTTCAAGGAACGAAAATGAAAACCGGAAACGAACAAAATTTTGACAGGAACAGAACCAGAAACAGAAATTAAATCAAATTTTATAGTTCCGAACAGGATCGAAAATTTGAAATAGCCATTAACCGGTTAATAATGTAATTTTATCGTTCCATTTAATATTTGAAATTTGCTGTCAACCAATCACGAATTCCAGTAGTATGGTCTATGCAAATGTAATGCTGATGCCAACGAGTGAAATGCCCGCTCAGCTGTGAACTCATCATAGGTAAGTCGCAGTGGCAATGCGTTAGACTTTATCCGAGGATAGTGTAAGAAGGATTCTACAGATCACAGATCACTTTCCCTGGTGGGGAGAAAACAGAATAAAACTATAGGCTTACATAAAAAGGAATATAGGCATATACACAAAATATATTTCACTTAAATCATTGACAGATGAACAAAACGAAAGAAAAAATGTGCTGAGGTACGGTTCATTGTGCCGCATTCCAAAGTTCTCGGATAGGAAAACGAGACAGCAGAAAGTAGTTTTTTTTTATTTTGCAAAAGCTTGACAGTTTTGAATAATGTTTTGCTTCTATCTGTATAACCAACCAGCGTTGGTATGACCATCGGGCCGGTGCCTCACATGCACACACAACAAATTTTTGCGACATTGCAGCCTGTTCATTATCAAAATAAAATACAGAGGATAGTGTAAGAAGGATTCTACAGATCACAGATCACTTTCCCTGGTGGGGAGAAAACAGAATAAAACTATAGGCTTACATAAAAAGGAATATAGGCATATACACAAAATATATTTCACTTAAATCATTGACAGATGAAC